TATTTTTTTACAATTTTGTTTTTGATGAATTCGGTTCCGTAAAGTTGTTTTTTAAATAATTATTTTTAGCTTTCTTTTAGTAATATTTGACGAGTTATAAGTTACAGCAGATAATGTTACAGATAATGTTAGATTTTTTTCAATTGCAAAGTTACACAATGATCCCTATAAAATAATCGGCTTAAGTAAAAAAAAAATTAATTTATACAGTTACAAACGATCATTAATAGTTCCATATATGATCCCTTTGAAATAGTTTATAGTAGACAAGGGCACCCACTAGTATATAAAAAATTAATCTGGCTTCTTCAAATTTCTATAGAACAATTCACCCAATGGTAATAAGAGTTATAATATTACTTTACCCTTGCAAAAGTATTGGCATTGTAAGATGGTGTGGTCTGCACAAGTCAAATAGCAAGTATTAACGACTAACGAGTGGCAGTGTGGGTCATGCGGGCCAACTCAAGTGGACTTTGACGAGCCGATTAGTGTGACTTTTGATCTTCATCTTTATCTTTAATCTTTATCTTGTTTTTCTTTGGAATTTTCTTATATAAAACGTAAAGTACAAATACATGTGATAATTTGTTCAAATATTTATTAGAATATTATTGATTATTTTAAGATAAAACAATATTGTTAGATGGAAGAATAGCTGTTAAACTTATAAAAAACACAACAGGTTCACACACATTCAAATACATTTAGATTGAGGCCATACTTGCGAATTCGTAGAAATCTAAAGATTATAATCACCTTCAATAGTAATAAATAGATTTATATTCGATCTTTGTTGGTTCGTCGGCCATCAATGACCAAAAGCTGTAATAATAATTTGTACATTTGTCTTTCATAATTAGTAGTTAATTAATTAAAGATTAGTATGATATCTACTAACCTGAGACTAGCCAACTTGGTAGAGATTTTACCTTTTAAACTCCAATTTCGGATTTTAATCCGGACGTTGATAATACTAACTTTTAACAAATAACTACTAGCCAATCGTTTTAAAAAAGATTAGTCTACTAACTTTAAATATGTTACTTTTTGATGGTGTTTTTGTTTGAAAAGCATAACAAATGCATACCGTAAAATAACAAAGCAAAATAAATAAATTATATATTATAATAAAAAATAGTTTCATTACTCAACCATCTAAACATAATGATCTTTTTATTTTTCATACTGATTAAGTAATATCGAAAATATTACTTTGTTCATTAACAAAGTTTTGTTAATTTAGTGAGTTGGTTTAGAGAAACGAGAAAAAAAAAGAACTTCACTTGTGTGAGTATATGTATATATTGCCTATGAAATTTATGATTAAGTAAAATGGTTGGAAAATAGAATCTCATATAGCCTTCCGACATACTTCCTACAACATTAAAAACTTTCAGATCAACAAATAACACCATCACAAACCATCACGGGTCGTTCGTGTACTCTCAACACACACACATAGAGAGAGTTACCCTCATTGATTTGTTGCAAGTCATGGTAAGCATCATGAAGAGCCACCATCTTTCATGGAGGTGACCTAAGATAGTGTGTACAGCCATGGTGGCCCTTGCCACAAGACCACGTACAACCGTGTATATGATATATTTTACGGGCTTAAAGTTAAAATGAAAAACATACTTTTAACTATTACATTAGAGTATCGACAATAATAATTATTAATAAAATAACTAAATTAGTTAGAAATGTCTAATTGAGACTCAATATATTATTATGTTGATGCTAAATTTAATGATATACAAGGAAATAGTCATTGAGTAATTGGTCAATATCAAACAAGAAATATTTTTATATAGATGATTAGCAATAACAAATAATTGATATTTTTATAAATATATGTTCCATTGATTATTTTTAGGATTCAACGTATTATAGAAAGTATAATAAAAAAAATATTAAAAAAATGGAATTATAATGTATAAGATAATTCCATAAATGTTATGTAGCTTAATTTTAAGACTTCAATACATTGGACTCCAAGACCTCCAACTTTGTTTTACCATGCATTTTTTTTTGTGTGGCCTTTGTCGCATAGCCTCGAGTAGCCCGACCTCTACTTATTAACAACTAGAATAAAATAAATGTACAAATGGCAAAATTTAATTAAACAAACAAGTTTACAAATGACTCCCAACAGTTTAGTTTAGTCTTTCTTTTTTTGCTTATCCGACATATACCTACCGCTTGTAGTCGGATCCACGATACAATGTGTTTGCGATATTAAAGTTGGTTAAACATTATTCCTTCGTCACCATCCCACCAACTTCCTATTTGCGATGTATGCTTTCAACTTCAAACATAAAATTATTAATAGTACTATCTATGGTCCCTATGGTTTGGTCCATTTTGATCAAAACTTGTCTTGTTAATTTCATAATTTGAGTATGGCTGGAGGTTTGGAACTGTTATTTAATAATTAGTTGGGATGTGACTTTTGGTAGTCAACTTTGGAGTTTGACTTGACTTGGTCGCAGTAGGTGAGCCCCAACACAACACAAAGGAGTCATCGTATGAAGCATCGTCATTCTTCATATAAACCTATAAAAGCAACCAAAACTCTTACCCATTTCAAACCAAATCAACACCGGCCACACCTTAATCACTCATTTCATCCAATACCAATTCTAACACATTTTCACAGGTATTCATTTCTTGCTTTCAATCCAAAAACAAATACCGTTTTAGTTAATTTCACTAATTATGCAATGGTTTCAAATTGCATTACGTACTAATTTGAATATTTGATCAAGTTCTTACGGTTTACTTTTTCATGAACTGCAGTAAGGAGATGAAGATCACGATTAGAGAATCAACGATGGTGAGACCCGCGGAGGAGACGCCGAGGATAAAGCTATGGAACTCTAACGTCGACCTCGTGGTTCCAAATTTTCACACACCGAGCGTCTATTTCTACCGGCCCTCCGGAGCCACCAACTTCTTCGATGCAAAGGTCATGAAGGATGCTCTGAGTAGGGCTTTGGTTCCGTTTTACCCCATGGGAGGACGATTGAAGAGAGACGAAGATGGCCGAATTGAGATCGATTGTCAAGGACAAGGCGTATTGTTAGTTGAAGCAGAGTCCGATGGCGTGATCGATGATTATGGTGACTTTGCCCCCCACGTTGGAGCTCCGGAAACTTATCCCGGCGGTTGACTACTCCCTCGGAATCGAATCATATTCCCTACTGGTGTTGCAGGTAACTTACTTCAGATGTGGGGGAGTTTCGTTAGGAGTCGGGATGCAACATCATGCTGCAGATGGTGCATCTGGGCTGCACTTCATCAACACATGGTCCGATATGGCTCGTGGCCTTGACCTTAGTCTCCCACCCTTCATAGACCGAACCCTCCTCCGTGCTCAAGACCCACCACGACCCGTTTTCGAGCACGTTGAATACCAACCTGCTCCGCCGATGAAATCCACATCCGAAACCTCATCAGATGAAACCGTCGTCTCAATTTTCAAATTGACACGGGACCAACTCAACGTGCTCAAATCAAAATCGAAAGAAGATGGTAACACAATCAACTATAGCTCCTATGAAATGCTCTCCGGCCATGTTTGGAGGTCTGTGTGTAAAGCCCGCGGGCTGCCAGATAATCAAGACACCAAGCTATACATCGCCACCGATGGCCGGGCCCGCCTTCAACCCGCCCTACCACCGGGCTACTTCGGTAATGTTATCTTCACGACCACTCCGATAGCGGTAGCAGGCGAGCTTCAATCGAAGCCAACTTGGTATGCTGCTAGTAAAATCCACGATGCGTTAGTGAAGATGGACAACGATTATCTTAAATCAGCACTTGACTATTTGGAATTACAGCCTGATTTGAAGGCATTGGTTCGTGGTGCACATACCTTTAAATGCCCTAATCTTGGAATAAACCAGTTGGGCTAGGCTGCCGATTCACGACGCCGACTTTGGGTGGGGCCGGCCTATATTCATGGGTCCCGGGGGGATTGCATTCGAAGGTTTGAGTTTTGTGCTACCAAGCCCCGGTTAATGATGGGAGCTTGTCGATTGCCATTTCACTGCTAGCCGAACATATGAAGCTTTTCAGCAATTTCTTGTATGATATCTGAAATCTTGGATACATACGTTCTTTAAATTTGTTCATTATTGTATGATTTTAATTTTTACAAAAAGGGAAATACTTATGTTGAAACGAGCTTATATATAGCTCCGTTGGTTAGAGTTTTTAACAGCTATTCAGCTTAAAATATTGATATATTTTGCACAAACATTTTATTATTTCTATCTGTTCGAAATACCTAAGACGAACCGACTCGTGGTCTACGTAGCCATGGAAAACGCTCGTACACACTACCCAGGTCATTCGTGGTCGGGTGTTTTTGTGGTCCATCGAGATGCATGCAGTGGACGATCGCGACCAATGGCAACCTTCATTCTCTTTCTAGCAATTTGTCGGTCAAAAACTTAAACTTTTAATATGTTTTTTTTAATATATCAACATTACCTATATAAACATAACAATTACAACATTTACATTCAAACCATTCTCTTTAAAAAACATATTTATGGAAATTTTTTTAAGAATTTCAATTCGGATGACGAGGGAGAATTCATCTCGACGCTCTTCAGTGTTGTGCAACACATAACATAATGAAAAAGTTTGTACGTTTCACATTTAAGAGCGGCTGTCAATCGAGATCGTCAAGCCGTACATGACTTATTGGTACATGATTAATTTGTCAATAATTGTGTAACACCCGGTTCCTGGTACGTATTTAAATTTAAGTAACTTCATAGTTTGCTCTGGAACTCGGCGAGTTGGAGGCCCAACTCGTCGAGTAGACTCGACTATTGATCGGGGGGTTAAGTGACCTACTCGACGAGTCGGGAGACCGACTCAGCGAGTAGGACTGTTTGGATGAAACCCTAATATTTGGGGTTTGCACCCTATTTAAACAACTTATAACACCACAAACCAGTCTCCATTGTCCCTCCCAAACCAGAGAAAACCCTAACTCGAAACCCTAGCCATTATTGTGTGTTCTTGAGCTTGTTGGTACCATTTTTGTGTGTTTTTTAAGTTAAAAAGGAGGAAGGATGCTTGGGAGTTCAAGTAGAAGCAAGAAGATCCAGAGGTTTTGCTCCATTCTCAGCTCAATCAAGGTAAAAAGTTGGAACATTGACCATTTATCTCTTAGATTTTGATTTGGGGCTATTTCTACCCTTTTTATGAGCATAGTGAAGCCATAATCGGGTTTTGTATGTGTGCTTGGTGTTGCACTTCAGATCTGGAGCTATTGGGGGTCCATATGGCATAAAGGTGCCAACTTTGTTGTCATAAGCACCCCATGCATATTGTATACATCTTTTTATGGCTTTTTGAGCCAAAGGCCTCATGCATGGACATCAAGTTTGTTGTTTTACGTATAAAATGGACCCTAGGAGGCTAGATCTATGGTTGTGATGCATTAAGACCCGTTATAATCAACTGTATAGTTTTGGACAAAGAGGGACTCGGCGAGTTGTACAAAGTGGAGAGGATAGCCACTTATCGTATGGTTTTTTACTCTATTTGGAATTGATGTCACTAATCCAGATACTTCACAATATCACTAGATCCCAAAACAAAAAGTATATTTTACAACAAAAACCACAAAACTTAGAAATAACTATTTTTTACCAAAAAAAAAAGGAAAAAAAAAGCAGAACAACAAGGACCACCTTTGAGCTAAAACATGAGATGAAAGTTCTTTTACATGTAATAGAACTGCAGGGGAACACAAATAACATATCTGACCATAGAGAATCAGGGACACAATGAAGCTTAGGTACTACTTTTCGTGCATTTTGGATTTGGTGGCTAATAAGGTATGCTTTTTTATCTTCCATTTTCAAGAATTAGTGTAATATCCCAATTTTCAAGACCAAAAATTTCATTTTCGATTTAACAATTCATAAAACAAATTACAGAAAACATCAACGAGTTATCTCATTTCATAAAATCCATAGATCATGTATCTCAAAAGCATGTCATAAGATCATAACGTCAGAGTACAAATCCCAAGAATCTCATATGCGGAAAATCGTGTGTGTGATGTGATGCTACCGTGCCGGCTCCTTTACCTTCAAAGAAGAAGGACCTGAAACAAAAACTGAAAAACGTAAGCACATAGCTTACTGAGTTCCCCCATCGTACCACATACCATACAATAAACATACTGTCAGACATATCTGAGTGTCTGGCCTACCCTGCTGAGTATATATGGGTGCTCAACCTACCCTCATCAGGCATACCAAGGTGCCCAACCTACCCCTTGTCAAGCAAATCTAGGTACTCAACCTACCCTTCTAGGCATATCTGAGTGCCCGACCTACCCTCCGGTTTATTTCAACCGGCTACGGTGACTATTTCACCCCTACCATTACCACATAATAACATAGCATAACATACTGTCAAACATATCTGGGTGCCCAACTTGCCCTCTCGGTTTATCTCAATCGGGTCAGGGGACTAGTTCCCTTCCTACCACTATCACATAATATCATAGCATACTAGCACAAATAGCATAACATATAGTGGCATACCAGAAAATTATCAGAAAGACAATCATCTTTACTATAATCAACTACCAGTGCGGCGACATTGGTGCCTTCGACCCACTCCTACTATAAGGTAACTCACCTCAAATGTCACGTAGTAGCTGAACAGTCCTCGGCTCTGGGATCAACTCCTCTCAAACTACTACACATAAATATCTCTTCTAATTAACCTTTCATTCTCATAACCAATTTAAGGGTCAACTCTGGTTAATGGTCAAAGTCAAAGTCAACATCATGGTCAAAGTCAAACATCCTGGTTGACTCAACTCACCGATTTGGTCCATCAACTCGTCGAGTTCCATGATCCATAAAACTTTGGAAATCTCCATCCTACTCATCAAGTTCTTTCATGAACTCGTCGAGTTCCTCCTCATAACATAGTCGGGACATTTCACTCACAACTCGCCGAGTTCCTCCTTGAACTCGTCGAGTTCTTCAATCTTCAAAACCCAAAAACCATGTCCAACTCACTGAGTCATCTCCTAGACTCTACGAGTTTGCCCAGTAACAAAAAAGGTTGGGGAACCATGACCCAACTCGCCGAGTTGCAAGAACAACTCGCCGAGTACCCCTTGTCAAGCATATCTAGGTGCTCAACCTACCCTGCCACGCATATGTGGGTGCCCGACCTACCCTCCAGTTAATTTTAATTGGCTATAGGGACTATTTCACCCCTACCACTACCACATAATAACATAGCATAACATACTAACGGGCATATCGAGGTGCCCAACCTTCCTTGCCGGTTTATCTCAACCGGGTCCGAGGACTAGTCCCTTTCCTACCACTATCACATAATATCATAGCATACTAGCGCAAATAGCATAACAGACAGTGGCATACCATACAATTATCACAAAGAAAATCATCTCTACTATAATCAACTACTAGTGGGTTGGCATTGGTGCATTCGACCCACTCCTACTGGAAGGTAACTCACCTCAAATGTTGCGGTAGCTGAACTGTTATCGGCTCTGGGATCAACTCCTCTCAAACTCCTACACATAAATATCTCATTTAATTACCCTTTCATGCTCATAATCACTTTAAGGGTCAATTCTGGTCAATGGTCAAAGTCAAAGTCAACATCCTGGTTGACTCAACTCGCCGATTTGGTCCATCAACTCGTCAAGTTCCATGATCCATAAAACTTTGGAAATCTCGATCCTACTCGTCAAGTTCTTTCATGAACTCGTCGAGTTCTTCCTCATAACAGAGTCAGAACATTTCACTCACAACTCGTCGAGTTCCTCCTTGAACTTGTCGAGTTCTTTAATCTTCAAAACCCAAAAACCATGTCCAACTCGCTGAGTCATCTCCTAGACTCGATGAGTTTGCCTAGTAACAGAAAAGGTTGGGGAACCACGACCTAACTCGCTGAGTTGGATGAATAACTTTTGAGTCCCCCATAGTCTAAATCCATTCAGTCGTTTCCAGTCAGGTTCAATGCTTCCAAACCGTAGAGTTGGTCCCCTAAGGTCGATATATCATGTAAAGTTACTAAATTTATGTCCATACATGGGTTATTTAGCTCAAAAGGCCCTAAAAGGTGGTTCACAAGTTGCATGGGACTCCCATGGACATAAAGTTGGCACCTTTATGCCATTGAGTCCCTCGACGGCTCTAGATCTGAAGGTTCTTTCTACAAGGGGACATCCAAATCCCAAAGGCCACCATTATTGAACCAAAACATGGAGAAAAAACCCTAAAACTAGATCTAAACACTCAATAAGCCAGGTAAGAGATTTATACCTCAGGTGAACCAGATTTGAAGCTCTACTTCTGGATCCACTCTTCTCCTTCACTTCCTTGCTCTTTCCTCAAGTCTCCTCTTCTTCAAAACCTCAAGAAAGTACCAAGAATGGCTCAAAACACTCAAAAACGTATTAGGGTTTCGTGGCTAGATTTTGGGACGATGAAGGCTGCAAATAAGGCCACCCTTTGGAGATTAAGATGCTTAAATAGGGTGCGGACCTTAAAAATTAGGGTTTCACTCTGGCATCCCTACTCGTCAAGTTGAGGCTTCTCAACTCGTCGAGTAGACTTCAAGTCCCGTGTCCAAAATCCGTTTCTACTCGACGAGTTTGGGGCCTCCAACTCGTCGAGTCCCTTTGCAAAAATGAATAATTTGGTTTAAAATACATACCAGGATCCTACAATTAAATTAATAATAGATCTTGTATCTTTAATATATATAGTAAAAATTGTTGGATTATTCATGTTTGCAGCTTATGGTTGATGCTACCTTGGTGCTTCTATGTATAAGACCTACAGAGAGACTGCTATTTTTAGGTAACTACCATTGTTGTTGATTGTACCATCAA